GTGCCCCTCTTACCCCTTCAGCCCATGCCGTGCCCCTCTTACCCCTTCAGCCCATGCCGTGCCCCTCTTACCCCTTCAGCCCATGCCGTGCCCCTCTTACCCCTTCAGCCCATGCCGTGCCCCTCTTACCCCTTCAGCCCATGCCGTGCCCCTCTTACCCCTTCAGCCCATGCCGCGCCCCTCTTACCCCTTCAGCCCATGCCGCGCCCCTCATACCCCTTCAGCCCATGCCAGCCTGTGCTCGCGCCCCTCATACCCCTTCTTTGCAACACTCGTCCAGACAATGCGTCTCTAATTATGACAGATGAACATTCAATGGCAGAAATGTTTCCGTATAAATCGCAATCTATTAAATTGTTACTCTACAACGTATGTAACTGACCTTCCGTAAACGCAGGGTGACCTCTAAGAGAACCAATCACATGGAGTAATACGATACCACGTGAGTTACATGAGTCTGACCATCCTACCTCCGAGTGCTGCCAGTCTCCAGAACCTGTCCAGTGTCCCTACCTCCGAGTGCTGCCAGTCTCCAGAACCTGTCCAGTGTCCCTACCTCCGAGTGCTGCCAGTCTCCAGAACCTGTCCATGATCCAATCCTGTGCCGTGTAACCCATATTGGGTGTGAAATAAATGGTGTACATACGTGTGACGTGTTTCTCTGATTTCTGTCATTTATTTTCATGAAATGTTCTCTGGCAGCACTCCGAGGGTTAACCCTCCTCCAGTGCTCTATGGTCCCGTAAACCATCACATTCTATGCACAGTGTATAGGAGGTGAGGACCCTGAGGAACATTCCAGTGCTGAGGAGGAGGAGGAGATAGGCTGGAGCTTCAGGTGAGTATAACTTTGTTATTTTAGTACCTAGATGAAAATGTGCATTTAAGCCTTGCAGCGCCGGGGTAGCCCCACAGTAAGGTTTTTTTTTTTTTTTGAAAAATCTTTTTATTCATTTTGCATAGTAAACAATTACATTACAGTAACATTCGGGCACCAACATAGCACCCCATCCATACACAACAGTGTATACATTACGGCATAACGTATGCCAACAACCGTAAAGGACCATGCAAGGTCCAATAACTAACCCTCTGACCATAACCCTCCCCCTCCCCTAGGCACAGGTGAATTATTACAATATAATTACAATCAATCCACCCCCCACCCGCTCCCTGATGTGAACCTTACAGCCAATCTCTTAAGCGCTTCCCAGAAAGATGCAGAGTACCAGATTCAGTCAAAGGCAGTTAAAGAATATATATCGGGAGTGGATGGATTCCCTATGCTCTCACCACAATCCCATCCTTGTACAACATTACCTCCCCTAAAATTCCAGGAAAGCCATAACTCTCCCTCTAGGCATCCCCCTACCAGGTTTGCAACCACCATTCGGATGCCATAATTGTGTACCTAGTCTGGTAGTGTTGCGTCAGACTCCATCCAGATGGACCAAATTCTATCAAACTTTTGAGGACACCCTCTGCTAGCGTAAGTGGCTTTATGCAGTGGCAAAGCTGTGTTAACCAGTGTTTTCCAAGCCCCCAGACCAGGCGGTTCAGATTTCCTCCAGTGGAGGATAAGAAGCTTCCTGGCGTAAAATAACAGATATGTAAGTAGTGTGCGGGACGCCACCGAGGGTACAATATCGTCAATGAGTCCCAGTATACATATTTGGATATT